AAAAGAATTTCCAAGGCATTAGATATACAGTACCATGGAAGACAGTGAAGGCAGTCATCATCAAGTGGAGAAAATATGGCACAACAGTCACATTACCAAGAATTGGACGTCCCATGCAAAAGTGATGAAACGACTAGAAGAAAATCGGTCAGGGAGGCTGCCAAGAGGCTTACAGCAACATTAAAGGAGCTGCAGGAATATCTGGCAAGTCCTGGCTGTGTGGTACATGTGACAACAATCTCCCGTATTCTTCATATGTCTGGGCTATGGAGTAGAGTGGCAAGACGGAAGCCTTTGCTTACGAAGAAAAACATCCACGCCTGGCTAAATTTTGCAAAAACACACTTGAAGTCTCCCAAAAGCATGTGGGAAAAAGTGTTATGGTCTGATGAAACTTTTTGACCATATTTCCAAAAGATATGTTTGCCGCAAACACAACACTGCACATCACCAAAAGAACACTATACCCACAGCGAAGCATGGTGGTGGCACCATTATGCTTTGCAGTTTTTTTTCTTCAGCTGGGACAGGGACCTTAGTCAAGCTAGAGGGAATTATGAACAGTTCCAAATACCAGTCAATACTGGCACAAAACCTTCAGGCTTCTGCTAGAAAGCTGAACATGAGGAGGAACTTCATCTTTCAGCATGACGACCCAAAGCATACATCCAAATCAACAAAGGCATGGCTTCACCAGAAGAAGATTAACATTTTGGAATGGCCCAGCCAGAGCCAAGACCTGAATATGATTTACATATCTGTGGGGTGATCTGAAGAGGGCTGTGCACAGGAGATGCCCTTGCAATCTGACAGATTTGGAGCATTTTGGCAAAAAAGAGTGGGCAAATATTGCCAAATCCAAGATGTCCCATACTGGTAGACTCAAACCCAAACAGGCTTAGTGCTGTAATGAAATCAAAAGGTGCTTCGACAAAGTATTAGTTTAAGAGTGTGCGCACATATGCAAGCATATTATTTCCATTTTTTATTTTTACTTCCCTCCACCTAAAAGATTTCAGTTTGCTGTTCAACTGAGTTGTACAGTTCATAGGTCTTATTAAAGGTGGAAAAAGTTATGAAATGATTTATCTTTGTCTCATTTTTTTGCATCACAGACACTTGACATTTTAACAGGGGTGTGTAAACTTTTTGTATCCACTGTATTTGTTTGAATTTTTTAGTATTTATATGCTCACTTGGGTTAGCCTTAATTTTGTCTTTTAATGTTCTAAGCTGCCTTAGTTCCTTTCAAGGAGAAAGATGTGGTAAAATATTTTAAATAAATAAATAAGTTCACATTAAAACTCATTAACAGAAGCAGGCAACCTGATGCCCCTCTAGACATTTCAGACTACAATCTCCAACATTCCAGAATACTAGCCATACTGTCTGGGGTACAATCAGGACCTATTAGTTTTACAAAAGACTTGCTCATATGCTGCAGCTCTGTTCTGGTAAAAGGCAGAAAGGGAACCAGTAGCAGAGGATTTTCCAGCCCAGGCAAGCTATCCCCCCTTTTTTGTAATGGTTGCTGCTGGGGCCATTGAGCTGGCCTCCCTCCTCCCTCTGTCCGAGCCCCTCCCACCCCCTCCAACAGAAGCCTCCTCGGATTTGAGGCTGCCTCACTTCTGAAGCAGCAGCAACAAAAACGGATTTTCAAGCCAAGCCAAGCCAAACGCCCCCATTTTTTTTTTGGTAATGGCTGACATTGTGTCCCCGTGGCCCAGCTGATGTCTCTTCATGGACCACCACCGGGCCGCAGACCGGGGTTTGGGGACTCCTGTTTTAAAGGAACAAACATGAGAGTTTTAAAAACACCAGAGACTATTACGGTATATTTTATTGAAAAAGTAAAAATAACAATCAGCGCTTGGAGAAATCATTCAGCAATGCTTCCATCAGCTTCCAAAAACCAAATGGCTTTACAAGAACAGAGACTTGTCTTCATTACAAGAAGTGGAGTAAATAGTTTTAAGCAAGTCAACAGTAAACATAAACAGCCACATTCTGTTTATAGAGCCCTTTATGTGTCGCACAAAACAATAAATGGTTATCCGTATCACATGTTAAAAATAGACAAAACCACTCTTATACTACATAACTTTTTTTAAAAAGAAGGAAAAGATAGACAATCAGATAAAACTTTGAGGCATAACATAGCATAAAAATCAATTACTTTCTGTTCCCAGTATGCTTCACAAATGGCTTTCAACGGTTCCCCTGATATTTTAAACAAATTTATCATTACCTCATTAAAGTAAAGCCACTCTAAGTCTTGGCTGTTTATTACCCAACAGAACAAAGGAATTAGGAGAATAAGGCAAAATGAAATTAACTGCTGCACATTTTGGATTCGTGCAGAAAACAGCAGTATGTCCAAAGTTTTATGTATTTAATTGCTATGGGTAAAGAAATTACAACAGTGGTGGGGAACGGCTGCCTCTTGCAATGTTATTCAACTATAGCCACTATCACCTATATCTATGACAGAGCTTATGGGAACTAGAATCCAGTAGTATCTGGAGGCTCACAGACTGAACACTGCTGAACTGCATAATGCTATATTAATCTAAGTTCCCAAACTCTGGGCCACAGATTACACCACAACACCCAGAAGCCCTGATCTACCTAAAACTCTGGGAGTTGTAGTTAAAAAAATTTGGAGATCCCAATTTTGGGAACCACTGCTCTAAAGGCTGCTTTACATATTATGCTTTCCTTACACAGAAAGCACATGGGATGGGGGGGGAAGAGTGTGAAATTCACATACTGATAGCAAACATATATAACTGTGATTGTGCGCACAAAGAGCTCCACGGTTTAGATGTACAAGCAATGCTCAATTTTTTCCCTGCATAAATGCCCGTGTGTGTCTTGGTTCAGTGGACATAAAACATGAAGACAGCTGGTCAAACTTTTAAGCATGATCTACATTGTCACATTGAATGTTCTTGGGATGATCCCTTCTAGAAATCCATGTGTTCTGAACATGCTTAAGCTTATTGGATTGCACAAGCCTTTTCAGGTCACTTTTGTAGAACTTAAAAAATAGGTTCATCATATAATATAAATAGGTTCTGCATTGCAGGAGTGATGGGAGAGCTACGTTCTAAACTTACAGCAAGCCAGATATATGATTCAATCTCATCCAGTACTAGGAGTATATCAGAAGTAAGCTAGAGTCTATGTAGGCTCGTGATTAGAACTGCTTTTCTCATACTAGCACCCTCCAGATGGGTTACACTAAACTCTTCCATCTTCTCCAGCCATTGGGGCCATCAGTTATGACAGCTGAGAATGTCAGAAGTTGTACTAAATCATATTTGTAGGGTGCTATGGTGGCAGAAACTGGGATAGAAGATCCAGCTAGGGCCAGGGAGACTCAGGTTCAAATTCTGTGACTCAGTCATGATGTTCACTGGGTAGCCTTGGGAAAGCTGGTATTGCTCAGCGTAATCTATCTCACAGAACTGTCATGAGAATAAGTTAGAAAGGAAGAACAGGATATATTACTTTAAACCCCTTGGAGGAATGAAGAATGTAATTTTAATAAATAATAGACAATCACTGTATCAATATGAAATAATACATCTTTCTAAAAATGTATTATTTCCTCTCTTTAAAATTATTTAATTCATTCTTAAAATTGCAACTGTGTAATTTCAGTGATTAATTTCTTTAAGACATCAGGGAAGTCAAGGCAGCTGGGTTTAAGCATAGATTCCAGACACTTCTTCCATTTGAAGGCAATGGCATACCATTAATAAAGGTTTTCAAACAGTAAACAAAGCTGTTGTAACAGGCACAGAAATAAACAGCTGTAATTTTAATATCATTCATTGAATATACAATCATGTGCTAATATAGGAACGGGGGACATGTCCATGTTCAGATGTTACTGTACTAAAACTCCTGGTATGTCGAAAGGCAGATCAAGGATTAGGGACGCAGCCCATGCTGGATGGGGTTACGCCCCCTCTGAAAACACAGGTCCGCACCTTTGGAAGTGCTCTTGGCTTTGTCTATGAGCCTGGATGCCCAGGTTTCAGTGGTGGCTAGGAGTACCTTTGCACGGTTAAAACTAGTGTGCTAGCTGTGCCTGTTCCTGGGACAGCTTTAATCTGCCCATAGTAACACATTCCTTAGTTACATCTCAGCCAGTTTACTGTAACACGCTCTACATGGGGTTGCCTTTTAAAAGTATTCAAAAACTTCAGCAGGTTCAAAACACTGCAGCCAGATTGTTAACTGGGGCTGGTTTCAAGAATCACACAACGCACACAAACACACATTAAATAGAGCAGCTCCACTGGCAGCTGATCCAGTTCCAGGCACAATTCAAAGTGCTGGTTTTAACACATAAAGCTCTAAACAGCTTGAGTCCAAGCTATTTCAAATGACCACATCTCCCTTCATAAGCCTTGCTGGGTGTTAAGATCATTAAGAGAAGGCCCTCTCTGTTGCTGCTCCCAGACTCTGGAACTCCCTCCCACAGGAGGCCAAGCTGGCCCCACCTTTGCTGTCCTTCCACAAACAGGTGAAGACTTTTCAGGCAAACTTTTCCTTACTGACTATCTCGGAATGGTTTTAAAACAATATGGTTTGTATTTTGTAGCTTCTAAATCTTTATTTAGTAAAGCTTTTGGAGGTTTAGTCATTAAGTCGTGTCCGACTCTTCGTGACCCCATGGACCAGAGCACGCCAGGCCCTCCTGTCTTCCACTGCCTCCCAGAGTTGGGTCATTGGTAGCTTCAATAACAAGTAAAGATTTTACCTAACATTTCAAATTCATGTTGGTAGCTTCAATGACAAGTAAAGATTTTACCTAACATTCAAATATAAACTTTATTTAATTCTTCTTTAATAACTGAGTAATTTAGTGTTGTTAGCTTTAAATATTGTGTTTTTAATGACGTTAACTGCTTTCTGTTCTTTCTTAGGGGACTGTCAGGGTAAAATATTTGAATAACACAGACACACACACACACACATTTTACCCTGCCTTTTTACCCTCCTTTTATATATAGCAGACTATGGATACCAATGCAAAATCCCAAGAAGTGGGTATCACAACAACAGATCTGTGGATCAGAACCACACATAGAATGGGCAGATGAAACTATGAAAAAGAGTAGGCTCTATATGTAGGGATTTTCTTGGGAAGAGAAGTGGAAGGAAGGAGATAGGAATTATTCCCTACTGGTCATTTCAAATGAAATTCTTAGAGAAGGCAAACATAACTGATGATGACATGCAGGGCTGCCTCAACCCCAACTTTTCCAGAACATGCTAATAAACTACTGAAAAGATCACCTCAGAATGCCACCTGGAAATTCCACTGAAAACTGCAGTGAATGGCCAAGTCACTGCATATCACCACATTCATGTAAGCTTTCTGATCATCTATACTGAGGTGAGAAATCACTGTCTTCCAGAAGTTTTTGACTTCAACTATCAGAAGGTCTGGATAGCAAGACACATAGGAAGGGATTGTGCGTGTAGGTGGGAGGGGTAAAACATCTGGATTGCTAAAAGGTTTGTTACCCTTACCCTACACTCTGTTGTATCATCTCCTCAGTCTGAATCAAGGTGAGACAAGGGTAAGCTCTCAGAAATCACAGGATATGGTTCTTTTGCTTCTTCAAAATGTATGATGCTAAGCACCAAAGTTATGCCTATAAATGCTTGATTTAGAAAGGTTCACAAAGAGGTAAAAGAGGAAGCCGAATTATAAATGACAGAAGGGGTAAATTGAGTGAAGACAGACATTATTGTCAACAGAACTCCCCTAAATAAATCAATATTGCACCTACTTAAAATTTATTTTCATTTCTTAAAATATATTTAACAGTTAAGTTTAAAAAGGCCAAAGTGCCTCACCCCCCATCCAAAAATGCTATGAAATTGATTATTATTAAAATATTCATTAACGTATCACAACAAAAGGCATGCAAGTTAGATTAATATCTGGATGTGCTCACAGCTCTGAGATGAAAATACATTTCAGGCCATATTCAATACCCATAAAGAGGAGCTTGGAAAACCCATGGCTGCTCAAATACTGTTGGACTACAGCTCCTATCAGCCCTAGCCATGACTGGCAAGGACTGGGGCTGATGGGACTTGAAGTCCAACAACAGCTAGAGCAGGATAGACTCCCTAGCTCTGCCATAAAGGAAGAAAGGTCACATCTTATCCTTCCTGCTGTAATCACCATTAAGCTCCAGATGGGTACCCTCCATCTCTCCTAATGTAAAAAGAGATCTATGGGCAGTAAGAGGAGTGTGCAAGTCGTGAGCTGCACATTTGGAAGCCTCTTGAATTTTAGTCAGTGAAAATGACAGCTAGCAGGTAAAGAGTCACACTATTACACTGAACAAAGACAATCTACACACATCCAGAGACATTCATATATTAAAACAATTGTTTCATGGAGTAGCTTTTTATGAAACTTAAAATTACATCCATTTGAACCCTCATACAAATACGAGAAGGCAGGAGATGTGACAATGGTAAAACATGCTTTATATATGCTGTGGATGACTCTGGAGGCAAGAGATCATCTCTTGGACAGGCTTCCCTTCGTAGCAGATTTGATACACGGCAGCAAAGAGTGGAAACCTAAAAAGCAGAAACAAAATAGCAAATCTCTTACGAGACAGAGAAGAAAACCTATAAATCAACAACACTCACGAGGGAAACAGAACCAAATTAGAGATACATTAAATATGCTAGTCCTTTCAAATCAGGAAAATACAATTTTTGACTTAAGTTTGTATTTTGATCTACCATGTGCCAAACTTTAAGAGTCCAGACTAGCCCGACCATTCGGGTGAGTGACCCAAGGGACTCAGGCAGCAAATGCAAGGAGGTGGCAGAGGCAAAGACTGTTTGTCTTTCATTCCTTAGTAGTTTTCCTCCCTTTGGTGACAGAGCTGGATACTCATAACTTATGGACGTGCCTTGCTGAACAAGCCTGCTGACTTCGAGCATGATCCTAAGCAGCCAGGGAAGCCGAGGGCTGACTGAGCTGATGCTAGTTGATGGGAGAGTCTGCAGGCCCATCTTCCTTATTCCTTCCCAAAGACAAGATGATTTGATCTTCTAACATGATGTTTCCACCCCACTTTTTTTCTTTCAATCCTCTGGTTTGGATTTTTGAAATACCCTGCCTGATGAAGCGGTTTAATGACCTCAGAAGCTTGTTCAGGTTTTTGTCCCCTTCTGCTTGGCCCGAAATAAAGGAATCACTACAATGAATAGTAATTATATGCACATCTTGTTCCTTGACTCTATTGCAATAACTACATGTAACATAAAAGAGGACAGGCAAGGGAAATGTTTCCCCAGAAATGGATAAAAGCAGCTCTTTTCAAAGGAACTGTCAGTCAAAGGAGTGTATGGAGTGTTTCACTGACCCAATTAAAAATGTTGGATAAATGAAAGATGGAATAATTATAATATTCTAGGGTCTTTGGGCATGGATCTCTGGGAATTTCTAGTAATTACAGAGAAGAATGTTCCACTATTCCACTGCTCTTAAGCACTGCAGGTTAAACTGCTGAAGCCTCTGTGCTGAAAGGTCAGAAGACCTGCAGTCGTAAGATTGAATCCACACGATGGAGTGATCTCCTGTCGCTTGTCCCAGCTCCCACCAACCTAGTGGTTTGAAAGCATGCAAAATGCAAAAATGCGAGTAGATAAATAGGTACCACCTCGGTGGGAAGGTAGACAGCCTTCCGTGTCTAGTCACACTGGCCACGTGACCACGGAGGATTGTCTGCAGACAAACGCTAGCTCTATGGGTTGGAAACAGAGATGAGCACCGCCGCCTGGACAAAATTGTTAAGGGGAACTTTTACCTTTACCTTTTACCTCTTTTACACACAGACACACACACAGAGAGAGAACTGTGAGCTTCCATGGGTAAATGGGGATTTAAACCCAAGCTTCCTGAGTCCTAGTCTGTCACTCTTTTCACTACACTACACTTGGTATCCCACTGTAGTGTACTGCTGCAGAATTATGTTAATACAACTCTACATAGCTTTCCATTGCCACCTCTGGAAAAAAAATTCTTTTCTGTGGAGTATCAGTTAGTATAAAACATCATATGCAACACCAAAACTGTAACCAAATGATAAGAAAAATGTAGTTCTGGGCACAGAATTCTCTCTGTGTGTATATAAGCATTTAAAGCATTGTTGCTGTTCACTTCCAAGAGCCATGGAAAACTTGGAAATATTTTTCCAAACATTGATTTGGAGATTCTTGTTGAGTAATTCCATGGAAATTCCTTGGTGAAGGATCCCAAAGGACATCGAAAGGGTTCAAAAAAAGGACACCAACCCCTTCTACAATTCTAGATCAATTATTTCAATATAGAGTTTTAAAAAAAGAAAACAAAGATCTACCAAAAGCCTTATAATTTAACTGGCTGCATCCAACTCCATTGAGTTGTTTTCAATGTGTTCACTCAGCTGGGCCACTTATTCTTGGTAGTCTCAAGCATGCTGACACACATGTGGGGCACCAGGATATAATTTGCTCTAGCGTTTGCTAAAAACAACAAGAAGCAGATAAATACACAAACAACACAATATTAACAGGAAGATTCCTAGAAGTTAGGGCCAGCACATCTAAGAAATAGAATGTTTAAGACATATCTCACATGATGTCACTTACTTCTCCACTAATCCTTTCTGCTGGAGAATACGATACACCTCTGCAGATGTTTGTGGTCCCTGAAGCTTTTGCCCGTTCAGCATCTCTTGCTCTAATTCTTCAATAGACTAAATATGAAAAGAAAACGAATTTCCACTTTGTTGCCATTTCTTTAAACAGAAGAGCTTCATGAGAAAGTTAGCCTTCATTCAGGATGGCTGGATCCTGCAAGAACTGGAATGGAGATGCTCCAGCCCTTGAGGTGTTTGTAGTAATCTGTACTACTGCCACCTTTGGCCATGGTGGGTAGCGGTGATGGCAGTTACGTACATCTGAAGGGCCAAATGTCTCAGAATCTGTACTATACAGATAATCTCTGTTTTAATAAAGCACAAAGCCCACTGTACAACTAGATCATAAGATGAGTAGAATATCAAAAGAACTATTCTTACTGCTGATCCCAAACTGCAGAGGAAAACCAAATGTGCGATTCACAGAGACCATGAAGAACATATAACAGTTGAAGGCAAGGGAGGATGATAGCTTTATTAGACCACTAAAAATAAGAACAAAAGAAAGTTTTTGATTCACGCAGGCTGGGCACTACAGAGTCTTGCATGCTGCAGGGGGGGGAAAAGCATAAAAGGTCCAACTATCTTGGCCACATGCTTAAGGCAAGATTCAAAACAGGGACTGTTGTCTCAGCTCGAGAGATGCAGGTTTCATATTGCACCACTGGTGCATGAATTGGAATTTACCTCCCAAGTTTCTTAGACAAAAGGGCTGCCCATCATTCTGCATCTCCCCTCCTTCTTTATCCTATATTGGAACACATGGTTCTTTTTCAGGGGTGGGCGGGTACAAAGATATGAAAGTAACCTTATGAGAGAAGTTGTGATTAAATTTAGTCTAAAACTATGTAAACCAACTACAGCCAAATTAATAGTATTACCTAGAGAGGTTTTGTCCTCAGGTTAGAGATGATGTCCTCAGGTTGCAGTCCTACTTGGACTGTGTTTAAAATGTCCATGATTGGCTGTAGGTGGTGCTTTGGTCAGCTGTTCAGCACATCTTTGATAGTTCATAGTATGGATCCTAAGCTACTATCTGTTTGTAACCTTTTAGTGGTAAAATAATGGTAGTGGTGCCACACATGACGACGATAATCCATCCCATGAAAATCACTATTTAGCGAGATTGTTGTCATGGGAAAACTCTTTCCCCATTGGAATGCACTGAAACCTGGTTTAATGCATTCCAATGGGGAAAATACCTTGTTGTCCAGAGAAGATCGCCCATAGGAAAGCCATTTTGCGAGCGCCGATCAGCTGTAAAAATGGCTGCCCTGCGAATCATGGGTCCGGAAAACACAGCGCAGCCATTTTGCGAAGCCGAAAAAATTGTTGTCTTGTGAACAAACGGTTTGCGAAGCACGGACCTAATTGGCATCCAGTGAAAATCCCCCATAGGAATGACTGTTTTGTGAACTGCTATAGCGATTGCAAAAAGTCATCATTATGCAGATTCATTGTTTTGCGGGGTTGTCATTTAGCGATGTATCACTGTATTATCCTCCCTTGCCTTGGGGACACATGGCTTTTTTCTTTCTTGTTAAATGACACACAACATCGTAACTTAGAGCAAGTGCACTCATAGTCCAAATTCAGTGCCCCACCTATTGCAACTATCTAGGATTTAAGAATAGTGTTTAGACTATTTGAAAGTAGAAGGCCTATCTATGAAATATATGAGCTTCAACCAAACCTTCTATACCATTCTGAAAAAGACAAAATCTAGACAGAACTGTTCTAAAAGCTAGGGGAGCCATGTCCCACATTTTATTTCAAGCACTGTTCAGAGATACTGCTTCAGTAGAATAATTGCAACACTCTAGCAAGTTACCATTAAGCTCCACCACAAACCAGCCAAAATCAAAGAAGTAAGTCACAAGTACTGTACCTTCCCAGTTTTAACAAATGCTTCAGCCACTCTCCGGTTGCGGCCGCCATAGCATGTTGTGATAAGATCTGCAACTCCACAGCTCTCCAGGAAAGTGGCAGCAGACACCTGCCCCTTGCAGAAGAACTTTGCAAATGCCATCATTTCCATGAGTCCCAGTCTAATGACGGCTGCTTTGGTGTTATCGCCACAGCGAAGACCATCACAAAAGCCAGCTCCCACTGCCACTATGTTCTAAGAGACAACAGAAAAGAGAAAGAAACAATTGTATGGTTGAAAAAGACACAGAAGTCTTTGATCTCTGAGAGTAGAAAAGTAGGGGTAAGCAACCTGCAGCCTTTCAGAAGTTGTTAGACACCCAAATTATATTCCCCAAAATAATGTTTCTAGTCATATCAGTGTCAACTGGTGATCACTATTACCAACAGATTTAAGAAAAATACCATTTACAAGCCAACAGGCTTTAAACCATATACACAGCCAACTGTGGAAGTTAGATTCAATAAATATCCTGATGGGTGCATCACTATGACAGAACGGTGTGGGGATGCATTTTGGTTTGCCTGTGTGAGCAAGAGAATGTTAGAACTGAACATTTGCGGTGAGATTGTCACAGATGGCTTTCAGTGTTGGGCATTATGTCAATAATATCACACAGTCCCAACACATCTGGACAGACTCATATTGAGGGAAACTGGAGGATATATTATGAGATATCTCTTGATGTATAGGACTGGCTACCTCTTGCAGACTATATGCAGCACAGGAAAACAGGCAATGAATCATCAAGTTGAGTTCAGATTTAGTGAACGGCAGAAAACTTTGCCAGAATTGATATATGTCCAGATAGATTGCCTGTGTCGATCTTACCAGGCTTAAGTGAGAGAGCCGGTGTGGGCAATGCATTGGGTCTTGCTTTCCCTCACCTTGGGGTATAGAATAGTGAGAAAGAAACTCCCAAACAGTAGAGAAAGATCATATAGGTATCTATGGTAACATACACACTGTTTGTGTGGTGATGGCTGTTCAGTTATTGTAAACTAATCTGGTAACATGCCATTATCACAATATGGCAGCAACAAGTCCAGGATATAGGGCGCCCTGGAATCTTAATTAAACTACATTTCCTTGTAAAATTCAGACTAAACATAATATTCAGAGAGCAGAGTTAAGTATGACCACATTCACAGGCCATGCTAGACCATGGCTGAGAGCTACTTGAGCCAACTTTTGTATGCCAAACAAAGCCTTGGGCTGGCACACTCCTCTTCTTCCTCTCATACAGAAGGCTTGGTTAACAAGTGATTATCACAAAGGTAGACGATCAATGATCCAAAGGCAGCCCCTGGCAATTCCTGACATGATCTATGAGGCCAGAGAATACCACTCGATTTTTTCCTGCTATCCAACTGACCTCCATGGAAAAACAATCACTGTTAAGGTGGATACCAATATATGTGGGGATCACTGGGGAGTAGAAAAGAGAATTTTACACACACACACATCATCCTGAAGGTGCTGAGACTGCTGTTTTCTTGCCCCTGCCCCCAACAGTTTCCAATCCCATTGCAATCCTAACACTGTTGAGACAGCAATTTCCCCCTAATGAATAAACATAGAGGAACAAAAAGCTTGGTGGAGATAGGTTTTAATCTCTTCTGCTTTGCAGTGACTCTGCCTAGAGCATGAAATTAATTTGTTAAAAATAATTTGTTATTATCCATAATTTATTATAGTTTTAGGAATGAGTTTATATGTTGTTACTTATATTGTTTCAATGTCACAATATCAAATACTTGAATAACAGCTTTTCTTGTTAATTCGGGCAATAATTTGTTGGTTGGCTATTTTTAGTTATTTTAATTGATTTTTTTTCAATGCGTTACTAGCGATGCATGCAATTAACTGCTTTTATAAGTTTCACTACAATTAACATTCCTAAATTTATTCTGAAATGAATTTAGCAAACACACTAAACTTACGGCTATTACTTTCAAGGTCTCAAACCTAAAGGTGCTGAGATTTGCTGTTCCCCCACTAACAAAATAGATCACTAAATTTGTCATAAACCACAATTCCTGGTTTAGATATGATGACAAGCCAGGAACAACAGAATAAGTAAACAGATCTTGATTAAATCATCCCCCTACACTTTCTGTGAGGAAGCACTCAGGTGTAAAATTGCACATGTACTTGCAGAACGATTTTGGTTGGAGGAGAGGGGAGCTCCCTTCACTTCAAAACTGTGAGGAGAAGAGAGTGCTCCAGAGATGACCCTACCACGAGGCAGAGAGAGGCATTGGCTTCGGACAGCAGATTTTCATTGAAAGGTAGCAAGACATTATTTAATTTCTTGTCACCATGTTTTTGCTGCCAGGAAGAGGGACCTCTGAAATTTTCTGTCCCCAGGCACCATGATAATTTGGCAGGTTTAGATATTATGCACCTCAAATTTGGAAATGCGCAGGATGGATGGGATTTGCTACCCTGCTTCAGACAGCAGCCCATCATAATACAATCTTGAAGGTCCCTTTGCCCTCCTCCTTCGTTCTGCCCCCTGAATTTTATGTGCTTAATCCATAGTAAGAATTGTTTTGTTTACTGGCCTGAAGTATAACAGAAGGCTTAGATCTTGTCTACTTCTTCAGATCTGATAACAAATGCTTAAATACAAAGATGCTCTGTGAATAAGCATCTGAAACTTGGCAGTTTTTCGCTGTATTAAAGGAAAGGGGTTGCTTTCAGAGCAATTAGGAACTTGTTACTAAACCAGTCCCTTGTGATGAAGAGGCATAAAACGGCCATTAGAAAATAAGCAAAAAACTTGTGCTGACAAGCAGCTGCTTCCAGCTCTCTAAATCTATGGCACCCACAAAATTCAGCGATAGTATTTGAGGACCCGTCTAATGCATCTGTTATTTAAAGGAAAGATTTTACTTTCATTGCCAACAGCCTTCTATACTGCATAACCAGCTTTATCAGAAGGCTGCCAAAGCTCGTTAAAAAACCCATGAAATGAAAGCAGAGATTCCCAATAAGTACATCTGAACAGCAGATGTTCTTCCAGCTGCAGATCGTTATTTTAGAAACTGCATTTAGATGTCCTTGGAAGCTAAAAATTATACCACTAGGAAAAGAAAAACCTGCTTAGAACTCCTTTAACTTTTGTCTTGGCTTAAATCCTTAGGTGATCTTTACAAATCATTTAGATGTGTGGATGCACAGGAAAATACCAATTAGAACGAACAAGGAGAGGTGGGGGGGTCATTCATGTAGGCAGGCTGTATTGTTTGACACATATTTCAGGAGAATATGACTTTGGGTAGTGCCCCTTTTTCAATCCCCCTGGTGCTTTTTATCTTTCCAAATCTGGAATAAAGAACCATAATAGATCAAGAAAGAATACATTAAAAATACCCTGTCTTTTTCACATATTAGGACAGGGCTATCCAGGTGTTGGACTCCACCTCCCTAGACAGCATAGTTAATGGTGATAGATGATGCAATTCAACAACTTCTGCAAGGCTTCGTGTTCCTGAGTCCTGAACTAGAAGTGTCTCTTATCAGAAAATGCCTTATTGTTTGTTGTGGGTTTTTTGGGCTCTTTGGCCGTATTCTGAAGGTTGTTCTTCCTGACGTTTCGGCAGTCTCTGCGGCCGGCATCTTCAGAGGACTGGAGAAGGAACTCTGTCCATGCTCTGTTGCTGTTTGTTGGATAGTTGAGTATTTATAGCTGTGGGAACAGCTTTTGTCCTTTTCAGGAGATAGGGTGATCAGCGTGTTTTTGTTGTGGATGAATTGTTGTGATAAGTGGGAGAGACTACATTAAAATGCCTTATTGTTAACTGCTTAGGCGTGATCACACAGGGAAACAGATCACATTTTTGACTGCTTGTGGAATGGGTCTGGCAAACGTGATGTACAGAGAGTTGGACCTTTTTGGTCCAGTTGTTCAGCTACACTTTTGGGAACCAGCCTACTGTGATTCCCTGGCAGACAGAAAGTTTGCTTGAAGGAAGACTGCTCCCTGCAAAGTGATCCTTTCCAGTAATTCCTATGTATTTTTATAGGCAGAGCATTGCTTGTAGTGCAAGCTTCCTCTACCTGATCACTTCCAGATGTGCTGTGACATGAATCTCACCATCCATGGGATGTGTTGTGCAACATATCCAGAGCCCTCCAGGTTATGGAAGGCTGTGCTAATGGCTTCTAAAAACACGACACATATATGGGTGGCATTGGGTGTGGTTCTTGTGGCCTAAATAACAGCAGCAGCTTTCCTTCAGACCGAAGAAGAGGAAGCTACCCGAAGGAAAAGGAGGTGAGAGAATTTTGGTAAGAACCCTCTAAGTTTGCTGTAGTATCTTCATGCTAGCCAAGGCCACAGAGGAGGCAAGTGCCAGACTTAGTCCTGATGAGACACCACTCTCATTTTAGAAGTGAGGAAGGAAGGACCTTCCCCTTTGAACACAGTCCCTGCCAAAATCTCAGCTTACCTTAAGAGCACCACAAAGCTCAACCGTGTCTGCATCATCTACCACAGTTATTCGGAAGTTTGGAGTCTGAAGAAGTTCCTTAAAGAGGAGACCATTTTCCAAAATCTTACACCCTGTTTTGATGGAACAGAGGAGAAAAAAAGGGGGGAGGAGGGAAGGAGGGTTGTTAGCATAGTTTTAATTGTCATAATGGAACTTTCCACCAAGGCAGAACTTCTCAATCCTTATCTCTCATTCATAGCTTCATATCTAGCTTTACAGCAAGGATGGTCAGCTATGGTCCTGTAGACACTTTTTGGACTACAATTCCCGTTAACTCTCAGATAGCAGAGCCAAAGGCAAGGGGTTATGGGAACTGCAAACCAAATGTATCTGGAGCTCCAATGATTTGTCACCTCTGTATTATAATCTCGAAAGTGGCATATTAAGAGAGGATGTTTGTATCTCCCACTTCCCCAAAGCTTCCCCATGACAGACCTATTTTATGGAAAGTGACAGAGAAATGGAAATTAATATTGCAACTTCTTTAGAGGTGGCATTAATCATAATCAGAGTATTTGTTTAATAAAAGTTGCTAAAATATTTTGCATAGCAATTCTGTGAGTATTTCAATTTCTCAAAAACTAACTGAAATATTAGGCATGAAGATGGATCATGAACATTTCCTCTTCTCATCACTATATTTTTGTTGTCAGCACTTGTTACTGAGAACTTCAGCAACAGTGCATTCTTCTACATGTTTATTCAGACATAAGCATCATTGAGCTTAATCAGATTTACTGTCAGATATGGAGAGATCTGTAACAAAAATATGAAAACACTTGAGATACCTTAACAATCATAACTTGTGGGGTTTGGATATTATTTAAAAGAAAGAGATAATTTCCCTAAATTACCTATTGTGGTTTCACAGAACTTCTCTGCAGCTACCTCATTGGCAATGTTGGCTCCCATCAGCACACTGATATCTATTCCCATCTTCTCCCGAATTATATCTGAAATGAGTTTGAGTCCCTCTGGACCTTCATCTATTCCCTGAAGTGGACATTAAAAGAGAAGAACTGGAATCACTAGCAGCCAGACAGAAGATGAGAGAGAATTATCCTTGCAGAATTCACGACCACATCTATAAGCCATCTGCATTACCCTGGATCCTTAACACTGCAGCGACCACAGCCTCAGTAACTAGTCTCAGCCCTGTTATTGTCACGACATTTTAAAGTTTGCATCTTTCAGAACTCAAAAACACAGTTCTGGATATGAGCTTTGGAACAAAGGCATTTTTGCCTGTCAGTCTTAGCATCTTTCAAGTGACTGAGTAATCATTATTCATAAATCATGTACAATACAATGCAGCACTCTAGAATTCACCAGCTGGCAGATACGCAAGTGTCCCTAGCTTTCCTAAATTCCCCACACAGTGTATTCACATAATGTTTGCTTGCAGGGAGGAAGAGAAGCCAGAAAATGTATTTGTATAGAGGGGGCAGGTTAGCACAGCGGCAGAAGTCCTGTTGCTTAGAGTAAGCCAAACTGTAACTTCAGCTTTGTTTCTCCCTGATAAACAAACCGTCCCTGCCATGATTCTTGGTACCATCGGCATTCGCTGCTTGGTGCCTGTGCCCTGAGTATCACGGCAGAGAAGGAGAAATGGACTGAATGTTACAATTTGGCTTGTGGTAAGCAATAGGATTTAGGCCAATATTTATTTCAGCCAACAAGTTAGAAGGAAAATAATAAAATAAAATAAAATAAGTTCTGGAATCTAAACAACATTGATCACCACAAACAGCACCACTGAAGCTCAGACATAAATGGTTTATGTGTGGTTATGTAGCTTGTGTCTTGTTGGAAGGGAGTAATTTTTGTATTCGCGAAGGCTTTCATGGCTGGGATCTAATGGTTGTTGTGGGTTTTTTGGTCTCTTTGGCTGTGTTCTGAAGGTTGTTCTTCCTAACGTTTCGTCAGTCTCTGTGGCCAGCATCTTCAGAGGACAGTACTCTGTCCTCTGTGCTACTCCCATCCTCTGAAGATGCAGGCCACAGAGACTGGCAAAACGTTAGGAAGAACAACCTTCGGAACACGGCCAAAGAGACTGAAAAACCCACAACAACCAACGGAGTAATTTTTCCTCAAGGTATTCAACTCTGAAAGGCATATTGATCTTTCTGCTGGGAAGGCCCTTTCAGCAGGCACTGCCAGAAGGCAAGCAGGGGCAGATGTACAAACACGGGATGCCAAGAGCTCCAGGGAAGCGTTTTTTCATCAGCCTCTAAAGCAGGCAACCAATGGGTCACCTGCAGTCAACCAGCCCCTTGCAACCTCCTGGGGAATTTATACCCATCCTCAATGCAACCACCGAGTCCCCCCCCCTCTACATAATGCTCCCTCTTTGTGGGAGAGGCCTATGTCTGCTCCTGGAAGCCTCCAGGAGTAGCAGTCTTCACATTAGGAACTCGGGAGCGAAGGTAGGTCTCTCAGGGCCCCAGTCTTGCCAAAACTGAAATATCAAATGGAGAAGTTGCTATCCAGGCACTTCCAGTTTTGTTTCTAAATGGCCATTTCCAGGTTTGCAGTAGGGTCTGGGTGTCCAATATTTAGCACCCAAACTGACAGTGCTGCCTAGCTGTACTCTTAACACCTGGTCAGAGTTTACAGCTTTATATCATCCTTCTTTAGAAAAAGGAGTTGTCTAGCAAGGTCTAATGTAGTTCCACTGGTGGAGCTAAGTGAAATCTGGACACAGCCAGGGCATGAATACAACCAAGACTGGAACATGACATATGGTGCTGTGAACCATGTGGGGAAGGAAGGGTGGGACGTAGAGGTAATAGACAAAACTCCAAGTAGGTTTATGCTAAGAATTGCAATAGGACAGAAACAGAGGGAAAATGGCTGCCTTCTTCCTTTCTCTTTCCTTCCACTTTCCTTAACTTCTTCAGAATTATTTTTATTCAATGTTCTGTTGAATAATTTCAAAGTATTATTTTAAATAAAATAATATTTGTACAGTGGTGCCCCGCATAGTGACGATAATCTGTGCAGCAAAAATCGTCACTATATGGATTCGTCGCTATGCGGATTTTAAAAGCCCATAGGAATGCATTGAAACCCTTTCAATGCGTTCCTATGGGCTTAAAACTTACCTTTTTAAGTGAAAATCCTCCATATGGCGGCCATTTTGGGCGCCTGGTAAGCGAGCAATCCGTCCCTGTTTTACCCGGTGGCCATTTTGGAACCGCCGATCAGCTGGGGAAAAACATCGTTATGCGATAATCGGTTAGCGAAACAGCTTACCGATCATCGTAAAGCGATTTCCCCCCATAGAAAACACCGTTATGCGATCGCAAAAGCGATCGCAAAAACATTGTTGCTATGCGGATCTGTCATTAAAGGGGGCACCCGTTATGCGAGGCACCACTGTACTATATTTGTTGTACCTTAATTAGAGTGATTCCAATAGCTTTCTTGGCTACACGCCCAGCAATCTCATCACAGATCTTCTGAATGAACTGGTGGGGAATAACAAAAACCAGCATGTCTGCATCTTGTACAGCTTCCTTCAGATTTGGAATAGCAACCTAAAAAGGGGGGGAAATGAGGAAGACAGGAGGGGAGCAAAGAGAAACAACTGTAAAAGGGTTCCCCTTTATTATGTCAATAATTCATGTTTGTTATGTTAATTGGTCATGCATATTCATGTTGCTGAGAGGCAGACCTGAGGGAGATGCGGCGAGGCGGAGCCTGAGAGGGAGTCAGTCAGAGAGAGAGTATGAGTAGCGTGAGAGAGTGGAGAAGGAGACAGAGTGTGGAGTTTGGGGAAATCTGAGAGGTGATTAGAGTTAGTACTGTAGTATATTATCAAATAGAAGATTGTTGTTAATAAATTTACCTAAAGAAGATATTCATGAATCACTATCAATTTCTGTAATCAAAAAACAAAACTTATATTTAAAAGACTCTGAAGTGTGGAACTGAATCTTCATCTTCCTGAAGTAATGGTGATTTACTGATCACCTGGTGGCAGCAGGGTAAAAGAGGGGATGTTTGCCTTCGTGTACTCTGAGTCTTGACGGTCAAGCAAGGGGGCTCGAGGGTGAATGCCACATCAAGTTTCTTTCAATTTCCAGATTTTATTTCAAAATGAGACTTCAGTTTTGTTTTTGAAATTACAAATAATAAATGTATGCTGGGCCAAAGATTCAAGGGTGCCTTTTCACTCATTTGATTCACTCTCTGGAAAACTGCAGGATGATGCAGAGGGCAAAACAACCCCTGATTTCTATCTGCAAAATTATCTACATATTTAATCCAAGCCCCTCCTGAAAAAGTTCCCTTGGGCATGTAGAACTGGATCCTGTTTCTGATAAATATATTTCAAGACTTACCACATTTTCTGGTAGCTTGTAACCAGGGAGATATTTTACATTCTCATGGTCATTGTTTATGATATCTGTCAATTTTCTTCCATTAACTGTTTCTTCAAAAACCCACATTTTCACAGTAGACGCAAACTTCTGCATTGTTTTTACATTTTTGCCTATTATTTTAGCCACAGCAGATCCCCTGTAAAAGAAAGAAAGAAAGGAGAGATAGAGAGAGAGAGAGAAGGGATAATACCTTATAAATATGCCCATTTTAATGTGAGAAAGGCAATTCAGTTTGAATAACCAAGTAATCAGTCTAACTACTTTTTCAATTCCCAAGTCAACCATTAACAGAAAAAGTGAAATGGAATAAAAGTCATTCATTTGTCTATCAGTTACATGCAGTTTGAATTCTGTTGAGATTAAATCAGTGGAACACATTAGTTCAGACTGTTTTAAGACTCACTTGATGGACAATACTATTTCTTTAACAAAATCAGATCCTACCTTTTGCTCTGAAGCTGCCAGAGCAGCTTATATGCATGCAATCAAACCAAATTCACAAATTTAAGCTAATAACCATCAGAAGATGCAAAATCATAAAAAACTGGACAAAACGAAGATCACAAAAAACAGCAACTTACAAATCTAAAACCCCAAAGTGAAATGAAAAGAGTGATAACATTCACAAAAAGAGAGATTATTTCCTCCCTCCCACTGGGGGTCTTCATATTGGCAACAATAATTTCATTGATTTTAGATACCGCTGCTGGAATCCTTCTTGAAGACTCTGGAGAGGATAATATTGTAGCAGACATGGTTTCTATGGCAGGCCTTGTGAGAGTGACGGCTAGGGCATCTGCTAGAAAACATTTTAACAGCTCCAGTTAGAAGCTCAATACAAGGGGGAGAAGGAGAGAGAGACCCACACCCCCTCACAGTACCTCCACGCTGTCTGGATTATTCACTCTCATCAAGACCAAACTATGTCTAGACAAAAGGTGAGGAGTTAAGAGACTCCTCAGGACAATAAAATGGGAAAGGTAGGTAGAAATTAATACAATCTACATATATAGTAGATGACACTCAACCAAAATCCCCAGATTATTTTTCCTCTTTAGTTTAATGTACATGATAAAAACCATGAGGGACAGAACAAATCCCTGCGGTGTCCAATATGCCATTATCAAAACTAGCAAGTTTGAAAATAAGTAATTTATCATATGATTTTGCAAATTTTTTTATTCTCTCTCTCCATCCTCAACACACCTACTACAGTTCTGTAATCTTGGACATCACATCTTGGTGAAAAATATCTCTGTTAGGATTCATACTGCAAAACTGTTCCTTCTTTACTATTTTCCTTGCCTTCTAGATTCTATTTCCTCTGAAAGTTGATTTTACTAAAATTGCAAGTTTATGTCTAATTGTATTTTATTTTAATCTTCAGAATCTTTGTAAAATCTTGTGAAATCTTTTAACTATTTAAAAATTTATAAACATTTTTAGGTTGAGTTTATTTTTGTTACACTTTAAATTTCTTATTGTAAAGATGCAAGCAACATCTCTGGAACTCAAAAGTGTATTGAAACATACTCAGCATTTGGAATTGGATCTTGTTTGAATCACACCGATGGAACAATTCTGACATGGTAATTAAAAATTTATTTATTTATTATTTAAATTATTGATATGCTGCCTTTCTTCCCAATGGGGACCCAAGGTGGCTCACAGCAGATAAAAAACAGATTTTAAAAACATTATATAAATATAATGTTAAAAACAATTAAGCATACATTAAGAGTAAAAAAATTAAGTTTAAAAACAATTTTGAAACATGTGAAAACTTGTACGTTAAAAACCACCTTTCTTGAAATAACAAAATAGATTCTAAATTAAATTAAGTTAGCCTGGACCAAAAATACACATTTTCCCTTACAAATAAGTCATCATTTTAAGGACTTGTTTCTAAGTTTTCTTGGTTTTGTTTCTTCTCTCCATCTTTTCTTTGTCATATAATGTTTTAGTGTAAGAGCAGGAACTGTCTTGTTTTTAGCAAAATGTACGCTGAGAGCCATTCTCATGTAGAATTGGGTAGAAAAGTGCTATAAATAAATAGATATTGGCATTTCTGTTTGGGAAGAAGAGTTTCAAACACTCTGCACTAATAGCTTCTTTTCCCAAAACACCTCCCACTTCCATAATTTAAAATGAGTAACTTCAAAAATCAATAGTTTGTTGTATGGTGGTTGTGGGTTTTTTGGGCTCTTTGGCCGTGTTCTGAAGGTTGTTCTTCCTATCGTTTTGCCAGTCTCTGTGGCCAGCATCTTCAGAGGACAGCACTCTGTGCTCTGGTGCAGTTTGTTTGGGAGCTGAGTATTTATGGCTGTGAGATAGGCTTTTGTCCTTTGTGTATAGTGACTCAATAGACCAGCTAACGACGCCCATCAATCACAATGACAGATAATCTCTCCTCCTTATCACAACAACACACCCACAACAAAAACACAATTGATCATCATCATCACCCATCTCCTGAAAAGGACAAACATATTTTTCACAAACTCTGATTATATTTCTTTAGTTGATTCACTTCCTGCTAAAATGCAATACTGGAAAGGGAGCCATTATCATCCTCTGGGAGAAAGGTCATAATTTGATTCCACATTCACCTTGGATAGTGAAAGCTCAAAAGCAAGCTGGTCAGAGTTACAAAGATAACAATCCAACCACCAGGGTAAAGGGAGGAGAGCGTCAACTTTCACCCACATTCACCCTTCCTCAAACCAACTACTTAATCGGAAAATCCATGGTTTTAGCAAGGGGAGTGCGCAAATACAACATGTAATTCAAGCCATGGGGTGAAGAAAACTCTTCTTCAGTCTGGCCTAGAGTTTGCAAAAATCTATACACGTGGGAGTCCAACTGCTTGGGTAAAGTATCACAGCAAGACTTCCGTATTAATCAGAAACCTGGCAACTACAATGAGAAAGTTAAACTACAGTACTTCCATATAGCACTCAAGGCAATTTGAGAAGCTTAAAAACTGATGCCCTCTGAACAATGTTGAGGTGCCCACAATATGTCAAACAACACACATTCCTGAATGTGCCAAAGGAGTCTGGCACTCTCCTCTCCCCTTGTGCACTCTACAACCCGTACAAGGGTACTTGCTACCCAGGTTCATGGGTGAAGCCAAAGAAAATCACATGTTTAAAGTTATGACCCTTCTATATCCAGGCCACATGGCAACATTTAAATAAAAAATGGCGAACATTACATCAAGAGTGCTTTTCTCTCTTCCCTGTGCCTCTTTATCATACATCTCCCTTTCACGACTTCTGCTTCAAAAGTCTCACATGGGCTGCAGCAAAATTAGAAACAGGAGCAGGCCAACAATCACCAGGAAGACTTCTATGGATTGTCAAATAATACACTGAGGATGCAGCTGTACATTGCTTTCAGCTGCCAAAAAGCGGAAGGAAAAAATGGCAACAGAGAAGTAATCAATATTTCATGCTACATTAAATCCAGTCTGCAAGGGGTGAATATTGATGTGGAATATTGTGCTCTTGTGTTTGTAAGAATGGGTCAATTATATTCTGCACTGGGGAGGGGGGAATCAAACAAACATTTTTCCCCACCAGGATTTTGTTTGTTAATTGGTTAATAATGAGCAACATGAATTTCCAATCGAATGTAATGCATTCAGTGTCATAGAGCAGACTATGAACAGTAAGACTTGGGTTCAAACCTGTGCCAACAGTAACATCATATACACGTCTACTCTAAAGTAAATCCCTGTGATGCTTAAAATATTGGCCTAGGATTTGGAAGATACAGGTTCAAATCTCCATTCAGCCATAAAATTCATTGCATGCCAACTCTCACCTAGCCTGATGTACTGCACAGGATTTTTGTGAGGATACAGTGGGCAGAAGGAGAGCCATTTTGGCCACCTCATCTTCAATGGAGGAAAAGCAATGCAATGGATAAGTAGGAAATATTGGATTGCAACTTAAGTGAATCTGGGTTAGTCACTACCTTCCAGTCCAATCTACCACTAAGGTTGTTGTAACAAGCAACATGGCAGTGGTATGGAACTATCTATTGTAGACTCAGTTCCTTGGAGGAAATGTGTAAGAAAAACAATACAAATTTTAACATTTCACTCTCTGGATCTCCACAAAAGGGATTTTGTGGCTATGAAGCTGGTAGACGAATGTATCCATAACTACAGCCGTAGCTAGTAAGATAGGACATTAGAATTTATGTTATAAGGGCAAGAGCCAATTTATGCACCACAAAAATAAATGTTTGATACAGAGTAGATCCATAAATCTGCAGATACTCTACCCTATATGCAAAGTGGTTGGCATTACCTGATGAACAGGCAGACTCAACTTTAGAAGTTACTATCACTACATTCTGAATTCAGAACCAAAGTAGGGGTTGATATTGTTTGTGCAGTTAGACTTCTGTGCTATATTTTTTATAAGTTAATAGTTGTTGGAGAAAGTCTGACTGGAACTATGGTGGGAAAGCCAGGATTGCAGTCTTTGGTCCAATTGCTGTCAGCATCTGCCGCTCTACCCTATATGCAAAGTGGTTGGCATTACCTGATGAACAGGCAGACTCAACTTTAGAAGTTACTATCACTACATTCTGAATTCAGAACCAAAGTAGGGGTTGATATTGTTTGTGCAGTTAGACTTCTGTGCTATATTTTTTATAAGTTAATAGTTGTTGGAGAAAGTCTGACTGGAACTATGGTGGGAAAGCCAGGATTGTAATCTTTGGTCCAGTTGCTGTCTGCATCTGCATCTGCTTCTCCATTCCCAGTCCAGCTGCTATTTGTTCTGTGAGGACAGCTCCCACTAATATACTACTGGACATTTTTCTCCTGCTATAAACAAAGACCAGAGAACCAGACCAATATACTTAACGTGATGGCACAGAATGAATAAAACAAACTTTTGAATCAATCTTTTCAAATATCATCTATTTGTTCTGTGAGGACAGCTCCCACTAATATACTACTGGACATTTTTCTCCTGCTATAAACAAAGACCAGAGAACCAGACCAATATACTTAACGTGATGGCACAGAATGAGTAAAACAAACTTTTGAATCAATTAGGTCTTTTCAAATATCACGAACATGGCTTCAGATCAAGAGTAGTCCAAGAGACAACATGGCAGCCTCTCCCTTGTCCCCATACAAAAATCAACAGTTGGATCACACCTGTCAACTGAAAATACTTGTCAGTTGGAACATGGCAGAGTCCTCCACTGCACCCAAGACAGAAGACAATTTGGGTGAGGAAAGGTAAGCATACTGTATTTTTCGCTCCATAAGACGCACCAATTTTTTAGGAGAAGAAAACAGGAAAATATAATCTGTTTTCTTCGCTCCATAAAACGCACAGACTTTCCACCCCCCTGTTTTGTGGGGAAAATATAGTGGTCCTCCACTGCACCCAAGACAGAAGACAAGTTGGGTGAGGAAAGGTAAGCATATATGGCTCCATCCGCAAGTAATGAGGAACAACAAGAAGGCCCATAAGGCTAAAGCAGCAAGCTGCCGTAGCTGTCTCTCAACATCAGCTACCTCACATAGTTGCCCCACTGTGTTTAACGACAGAGATGGTCCTTCTCTCATTTAGCTTAGTACAGTGGTTCATTATAAGGCTATGGCAATTCAGCAGAAAAACACAAAGATGGCCATTTGTACTCAGTGACATCTATAGTGTACACCCAGTAAAACTTCATGCAAATATTAGCCACTTTTGCAATGACCGGTGGGGAAAGTGAATATAAAACAATATATATAACAAAATATCAAACAAATTCCTTTAAAAATAGTTACCACAAGCTCTTAGGTCTGGACTTTGAAGTTGTAAAATAACTAAGACATCCATATTTTTTAAAAGCAATTGTGCTTTTTAAGGTCATATCTTGCAAAAACAAGTTAACTGTTACCAATTTATGGAAGCTGACAACCAATACAAAAACACAACACTGAAAAATTGCAGAATCAGTACCAGGACATGAAGTAATGAGAAACAATGGACTGCAACCTAAGCCTTTGAAGCCCTCCATCAAATGGTTCTACCAGTGATTGCAAATAAATCCATCTGACTGTTTGGACTCATATAAGTTCTTGTCCCTTCAGGCCATGAATTCAACACTTAACTCACCAATGACTATGTTCAGCTGTTTGAACAACTGACACTGCAGAAGATGTATGAATGAACATGAAACAAGAGTCTGGGTAAAATATCTTCTGTTACGTTAACAAAATAAAATAGTCCTACTTGGGGACTTCTCAAGGGCTGCTGCAGAAACAGAACGCTATACTAGAGAAGCCTTTGATTCAATACACCAAGGCTTTTTTAAAGTTCTTACATTACCAGAAGCATGGAAGATAATGGATCCAAAGCCATTATATGTTTACAAAACATGATCAATAGAACATTATACTGATAGATCAAAACACTGCCTCCATCAGCCTCCTAAAACACATCAGTTCATCTCAGCTTGTTATAATCACATCTTCCGTAAACATTTAGAGGGAAAAACAGATTGCAGTAGCTGGTAGCCACATTTTCACCTAAAGGCAAGAAGGGGATCTAAACAAATACTGCTTTTCACACAAACAGAAAGGCTGGTGTCATAATTTATTTGTCTGTTAATTCAGACTCAAATTCAAGGCAGGTGACATGGCTCTCTTTCCCACTCTATGCTCATAACAAGCCTGTGTGGTCAGTCAGATTAAGTATCTGTGCGACTGGCTCAAGGTCACTCAATGAGTTTTATGGACAAGTGGGGAAATGAATCCAGGTTCCTCAAGTCCTGCTCCAGCACTGTAATCACTAGGAACTATATTCTTATCTTATATTCCAAAGATTAAGTGTGTAGAAGTGGGAAAGACTACATTACAGCTACCTCATCAGTTCTGCCAGAAATAAGAACAGTGTTTACATGCATACTGCATGGCTATACGCATGTATTACTGGAAAACTTAATCAGACTATACTTCCTGAATGTAAGTGAATGGGCTCAAGATATTTTGCTGTCTGAGGCAAAGGAGATGATCCTTCCCTCACTCTCCACTATTCCACATACAGAAGATAAATGGATCACCAATTGATTTTACTCCAGTACCTTTGATAGGATAGCATCTTCTAGTACAGCTAAAGCAAAATTTATAAAAAGTTATATTTAAAATTATAAATTCCAGCGTTCTCCAGTGGACATGCTGGCAGAAGGATTCTGGGAGTTCTAGTAAAAAAAGAGTAGCTTTTCCATACTCTGACCTAAGGGCAGGAGGCTGCTTTGGGGGTTCAGAACCCTTTGTGTGGTTCACACAGCTCTGTCTTTCAATAGAAGGTAGCAGACATAGGGCTTAAGAACAAAGGCTGGGTCAGGAGGATCTGATAAATCTGCCCACCTGAGGCCCTCAACCTAAAAATAGGGTCAGCCCTGATAACAAGAACAATTAGACACTGACAGCTGCAGTGGACCTTCAGCACAATGCAGAGGTTGAAGGATGGGCCAATGGATGATAAACTGAAGGAAAGAGTGGATGATACCTAAACCACTAAAAATCAAACATAAGCTAGCTTTCAACCCTATATAGGTCTTCATCAGGCTGGGTATCACAGCTGTGGAAAGAAGAAGAAAAACAACAACATAAAAGATCCAAAACCAAAGACACGTGTGTCTCAGGCCCTTTTGTTTAAAGTGAGTTGCAAAGTGGAAGTTGTAGACTCAGGTCAGAGGTGTGGGTTTCGTTCCACATTTGATGGTGAGGATAGGAATGTTAATCAATGAGTTTCCAGTCATTCAGCATTATGTTTATTAAGAGGGAAGAGGACTGTCTCACGCAAAGTCAGATTTGCACAGGATTGAATCGCTTGTCTACCTACAAGAGAAAGGTAATGAATCTGAATTCATTTTAGTCCTCCTCAGACATTATGGCCTAGTAAGAGGATTAGAAGGGTCATGAGAATGGGGGTGAACACGTGGGCCCTTCCCACTTTCTTCATTCAGAGGTGACTCAGACCGCCATGTGACAAAGATGGAGCCCACATTCTTGTGGTGGCTGAGCCCAATGGCAAAAGGTTGTGTTGAAGAATATCAGCAAAATCTAAGCCTCTTCCTATTAGGAACTAACTATTTCAATTTTAGGGAACGTACTCTGTACATACACTGTGAAAGCACCAAATATTGGTGTCATGGTGAGGTGAGTGTAACTATCTAGGGAAGGCCAGGGGACTGGATTAGGACTCCAGGAGAGTCTTAGTCTCCTCCCCCTTTTTAATTCATCATATGCATTTGACAGCTCCTGCGACAAATGGTTAAGCATTAATCTGCAAACACTGGATAACCTTGTGCAGAACACATCAACAGGTTGGAAATGGCTCTGGAGACGTACAGGTTCAAATCCTGATTGAGTCATTAAGCTCTTTATTTCTGAGTCACTGTTTCTAAAGAACCTTGTGCAGAACACATCAACAGGTTGGTTCAAATCCTGATTGAGTCATTAAGCTATTTATTTCTGAGTCACTGTTTCTAAAACTAACCTACCTCACAGGGTTGTTGTGAAAGTAAGAGAGGAGAATAACATGATGACCATCCTGCACTTCTTGGGAATTGGGATATTCATGCAGCTGCAATAAATATAATCCAGGAGAATAACATAACCAAGAAACGGTTATGCTGCAAGGACTCTTAGGAGCCTTTTTCCCCCTTTAGATCTGTGGCCACTGGGCTGACTACTTCTAGGCTTCTCCCCACCCTCACAGAAGGCTATCCTTTTTATTTAGCTAAACTGTGACGACATCAGCTTTCAACCACCCCAAGCCGGGCTCGGCTCTAGGTGATTATACCTACTATATTCTTATTTTTTGAAAAAAGCAGAAACAAGAACCGGCCAGCTGGGGAGGAGTAAGCTTCTACCATGCACGGCGGCCATCTAGCTATTTGCGCAAGGTGAGGCGCAGAACTGCGCTCCCGCGCAACAAGGAAGTAAGCGAGCTGGGCTTTATTGGAAGCATGAAGGCTGCCCATGCAGGGCTCTTCATCTCCCGAACGGGCACTTCGATTTGAGAGGAAAGGGGGGGGGGGAAATGACAGCGGATTTGAAGGTACGGGGCCAGAGGAACGCCCACTTTTCCCGCTCACCCCCGCAAAGCACTCAAGCAACAAGAACTGAGGATCGAGAAAGGCTCTTTTCTCCTCCAGCCGTCTCGCCGCAAAACTCGGGGACACGCAAACCCCGCCTCACCCGCCACTCACCAGTTCCCGGACCCCACGATGCAGACTCTCAAGGGCGATGACGCCAGAGCCATGGGGACGCCTGCTGCAGATCAGCACTCGGACAGCAGAGGACAAGGAGACGGCACTCCACGCCCCTCCAATGGCCGCTGCTGATAACGCTCTCCCAGCCATGCACAACCACCCCCGGGCGAGGCGATCCCGCCTCTTGCTCCGCCTCCGAAGACTGAGCCAAGATTTCCCCTACCAGTCCCGCTTTTTTTTTATGTCCCGGGGCTTGCTGGGAATTGTAGTCCGCTTTCCATTTCGGAAACGAGAGTTTGTGCAAGATTTGTTTCGGGATTTTTACGTACAAAGCACAGGGGAATATATGGTTCTGTCAAGTTTGCAAGATCGGATTCTGTTGATTGCTCCTTCTTTAGAAAGAGCTGAGTCAGCCAAGGCATGTCCTGTTAACCCAGTGGTCCCCAACCTTGGACCACCAGATGTTCTTGGACTACAACTCCCAGAAGCCTTCACCACCACCTCTGCTGGCCAGGATTTCAGGGAGTTGTAGTCCAAGAACATCTGGAGGCTGAAGGTTGGGGGCCACTGCTGTAACCCATGAAAACTCACACTGCAATAAATCTGTTATTTAAGTTGCCACAACTCTTGTCTTCATCAGTTTTCTGAGCACCTCCATAGGAACTGTATGCTTGTACATTTTTGGCAGTGGAGAAGATGCAGATAGGCAATTTTCTGTCCACAAGAGGTTGAGAAAGACTATTGAGGGCATGTTTTTGTGTGGGCTGCTGTGGTCTAAATAGGGTTGCTAGAGATCAGGGGGAGAAGCAACATGTCATTTGACACAATTCTTGCAACCAGAAGCATATTGACTTCAAGCTCTGGCTCTTTCCACTGTCAATTGAACACTTCCCCTGCTCCCTCTGTGGAGAGACAGAGGATGTGTAATTGTTATTTTTGCCTGTGCTAGAGCATCACCAATAAATTGATCAACTTACATTAAATTATTATTTTTTCTTTGTCCATAGCTGCAGTTTCAATTGGCACTTTACACAAAGGCACAGAAAAATTAATTTTAAATTTTAATCTAAGTGGTTCAGCACATCAGCAATGGTCTAACAAATGCCCCTACCCAATTCACTTCTCCTGCCCCTCTGCAGTTTGGCTTGATTTTAGTCCACTCCCAACAATCACATGCACTGACAGGGGCTCAAAAAGGTGCAGCTTGGGGTGCTCTGGAGGCAAATTTATCCGCTTGTCATGTGGTCACCAGAAAAAAGAGTGGATTAAACTGCCATCTTCAATGCACCAAACAGTGGGACAAATGCTCATCTTATCATGCCCAGAATCTACATTCTTTGAAACCCGATACTTCAAGCTGGTTCTATGACTTTGCAGATTCCATTATTCTTTAAATGTTGAGACTCTGAAGTCTTAACATCTAGTCAGGATGATTTCTGTTCCTCACTTCCCACTCTATAGCTCTACCACATCTAGCCTAATGAAGAGTTTTTAGGACTTGAATGTTCACCCATTTTTGAGATTTTAGTGGGCTCATAGAGCAAAACTGCACTATTAGATCAAAAAGGAAACAAAAAAGTTTTAAAACCAATACTATTTTTGGAATAGCTGTTATTTATACACATAATGTATTTAGTTTAAACGGTTTTGATTACAGCTTCAATTGCTTTATTGTAATTTAGGTATTTTGTTACTTTTTCGTAAGATGATCTGCTTGTTTTTTATGTAGAAAGGCATGGTGTGCATTTGTGTCTAAGAAGACATCTAAAGAGTGTGTTCTGTTAAGAAGAGCCAGGTGGAGTGTGTTTCATCATAAAGATGCTATAACTGGAAAATATAGAAAAATGGCTGTGTGATCCATTAATAGAAATAGAGTCAGGAGCTGGGAAATACCTTAATTGGATTACGAAAGAGTTACAAATAAGATGAGCTTTTGGTTTCTCCAGGCAAAGATGGTATAAAACTTGGAGTTAAGGCAGTTAGTCCAAAAATGGGGCCAGATCTTATCACCCAGAGCTCATGAAACTGGACTGCCAGCAAAGCAAAATGAGCTTTGGATTCCAGAGGCAACAATTTGCAGCTTTCTCCTTCTCTCACTTGCCAGTTCTCTGAATTTCCCCTCCCCCAGCAGCTCTGCCCATTGCAATTCACTTTATTTATTGATTGATTTATTTTTGGCAATCTGACTTCATGCATTACGTCTGGCTGAATTTTAACTACTTAATTGTCTTAACCACAAGTTTTATACAATCCTTGCTTGATGAAGAGTTCCAGAGAACTAATTTTACATATAATGCTTAAATGTGAATTTTGTTGTATGGGTATACTGTGTATATACCAGTTCTCTGAATTTCCCCTCCCCCAGCAGCTCTGCCCATTGCAATTCACTTTATTTATTTATTTTATTTTTGGCAATCTGGCTTCATGCATTACGTCTGGCCCAATTTTAACTACGTAATTGTCTTAACCACAAGTTTTATACCATCCTTGCTTGATGAAGAGTTCCAGAGAAATAATTTTACGTATAATGCTTAAATGATCTGATAATTATTTTGTCCCTGGCTTTGTACAAATAGAAAGCGTGTTCTTACCTAACGTGGGAAATTTCAAGTCTTACTTGGATAAAACAATGGCTGGATCCAGATTAAGAGGCTGACTACACAGGCTGTTTAGCCCACTGTTTGGAGCATGGCAGAGAAAGGCTGGTGTTCTCTTACAAATGGTGATCGACCGACATCTTTGTTAGAGCACAGCAACCTGCCCCAGAAAACATTCCTATCCTCACCTTTCTGCCCCCTATCTAGTGTGAGTAGGATTGCTCTGGTTTGGATTGGTTCTAGCATGTGTGATTGCTGGAGCCAATCCAAAGCAAACCTTCCTGTTTCAATTTGCCAATATTGTGGCTTAATAAGCATGACACTTCAGGATATTGCCAAATTAATCACTTCCCTTCCTTGGCAAAGGGCAGGGGAAAGGGGAAAATGTTTTTTGATTGTATATAGACCATTATATCACCCATAGTCAATATACTGCACAGTTGTATCTCTCACTTCTCCTGCCCTTTTGCTGAGCAAGGGGAGTGATTAATTTGCCAATATTATGAACTGGCTCACTTATTAAGCCACTTAATGACATTGGCAGGAGCCCACTTCTGTGTGAATATCAGGCATGATTAGATTGTTCTGAGCAAGCCCAACAGTTCCTACATGGCCCGTACTAACTTCCAAAATTCCTCAGACAGCATGACTGCTTGGGAAATTTTGAGAGCTCTAGTCCAAAACCATAAAAATGCAGTATTAGGGGTTATTAAGTAAATAGATTTATCACCACTGGTGTCTGTGAGTGACACATTCATTTTCTTTCATGTACAGGTGGTACTGGTTGCCACTTATTTTGGCAGGAAAACATATACTTTATCCCCCTTTGGCCTTCAGATGATTTAGAATATAGTTCCAATGATTTCAGACCATTGATCATAAAGTGCTGTAAAATTAGACCAAATCTAGCCAATAATTCCTCTAAGATGACAATTTTATGCTGCTTCAGTTTGAGAAAAATATAAATGTGCATGAATGATGTGACACATGGACCATTGATGGCTCAATGGAGCATGCCCAAGAAGAATAAGAAATACTGAAGGAAAAAATATCTTCATAAGGAAGTACTTTTGGAATGTGACCCTTTTTGATTATGAGCTCAAATTGAGACCGCGTTTTCAAAGTTATAATTACATAGGAGCATACTGATATTTTATTTTCTATATTTGGGAAAAAGCATTTTCTTTGGTCTGGAAATTTTACAGCCTATTTCCTTACCAATTAGAAAGCCATTACTATGGTGACTTGAACATTTGCAAAATATAGGAGCATTGGCCAATGCTACTGCTCCATACTCAGTCACTAACTGTAGCTGCAGCACAACACTGGCCCACAGATATGTCATATGAGGATAAGGTTACATCAAACCTTAGGAGAAACTGAACACAAATTAACACATATTATCAAAACTTCATAAACCACATCCAGCCTGTGAAACTGGCAGGATACTATTCATGCACCTAACCTAGTGAGGCAACTCTTTTGTAATGGGATTACAGTTGACTGGACAAATACTATGGTGAAATGTATTATAAGACAAGCCATTCAGCACCATGGATATTTGGATAACTTCTAGTGTGCAGTGCCAGTAAAATTGCTATGCCATTCTTTCCAAACATGATGCCCTTCAAGGGTTATATTCCGGCCCATTATCTATGCCAGTGAAGAGTGAGGGGAATTGTCATCCATAACATTTCACGAGGCACTTTATTGTAAAAATGCTGTGGTACACTACAGTCTCATTTATCTCTTTTCCAGCAAAATGCCTGGTGTTGTGATGGGCTGTATGTAAGAGGTATGGGTGGAGAAAGGCCTTATGTACTACAGTGATCACAGAAGATGCATTGTGTCTTTGCACACACAAAAGCCTTTTATTATCGTCCTCTCTAGTAGTTATCAACTATTTTCCCATCAGTTACTTTGGGCTCCAGTTTACAGGAATGCTACCCATTGGCCATATTGGCTTGGACATCCGGGAGCTGGCCCAAAACATCAGGAGATCCATAGACTGAAGACCACCGTTCCACTTCACTCCACATTTATTTTTTGACAGTAAGCTGCTTAGTGTCAGGGTAGACCAGAGATTTTATTCTCCCCTGTCCAGTCACAGAATTTACTGCAAGGCTGAGGCCAGTCAAAATGTTTCAGCCTAATCTACCTCAAAAGATTGTTTGCAAGTGTAAAATTAATGTGTGTTAAGGATTTGTGTGGCAAGTAATGCATCTTCAGTTTAACCGGAGGAGGACAGGGTGAAAAAGAATCAAATGAACTGCAGAACCTTAAATCCTCCAGATAATTTGGACTTTAGCTTACAGCAGCTCCAACCAGAATGTCTGGTGGTGACATATGGAGGTCAAAGTTTCTCTGTCCCTGACAATATAACTGCAATTAAAAGTCTCAAGCATAGTAGACCCATTTAATAATTTACTGGCTGGTGAAACCCAGTCTTTATGTAAATCTGCAACTACTTTGGTTTAATACAGGGAGCTAAACCTGCATATATCACCAGCATAGTTTAAATGAAATTAGTGAGAGATCTCAAGTATAGTATTGTTAGATTCAAAACATTACTGTGAGCTCCATTCATAG